TCAATCTCTGTTGTGGCAGTCAATGGAGTTGGCAGCAGAGTCAGACAGTGAGGAGGTTGGGGAGGAACATGGGCCAGCCCTGGGGGCTGAGGAAAGCTCAGACGAGGGCTCTGTGTTGGAGGCAGAGACAGCAGCGAGGCAGAAGAACAGCTGGAGCCTGTTCCCAGTGTGCGCATGCGCAGAGCTGCCAGGAGACAAGAACAATTAAGAAAGCAGGGGCGACTTGGGAGGAAAGCCACACCTTGGAGGAGATTGGCCCCTCCCATAGGAAACAAAAGAGGAGCGAACGAGGAGGGGGCTTTTGCAGCAAACAATAAGTTCATTTGGTCATATCAAGAGTGGAAAGTTCTGTTTCTGACTATAAGAGACTCTGTGCCAAGTTTTGCCTTGCCCTGCTAGTTTGGAAACTAGTTTTTTTGGCAGCTCTCCAAGCGAGATAAGGTTCGTGTGGATAAATATTCCTTTGAAAGATGGTTTGCTAAGCCCTGCCGACTATGAATGAAAGGAATTCACAGTCATGTAAATAAAAGGAGTTTTGCCAGGACCAAGACTCTGCTTCTTGATTGTTAAGGAAGCCTGAGTCAGAACAATCTCTTATCTTAACAACTGCAGTTGTGTTAACTTAGTAAGACGGTTATTAAGTGAATCGAGCTTCCCCCATTGACTTGGCTTGTCAGAAAGTCGCAAAAGGGGATCACGTGTCCCCCGGGATACTGCAATATGAACGTCATAAATATGAACCAGTGGCCAAGAATCTGAATTTTGATCTTGTGATGATTATAGGGGATGCTGTCGTAACGAAACAATGTGTGATGAGCCAGGGCACGGCACAGAGATAACACATGTAGCTGGCAGTTCAAACCACCTCTTTATTGCTCCACATTTCCCCAAATACTCCCACATTTCTGGCCAGTCCCAGAGCAAAGTGATGACAAATCACTACCACCCCATACAACACACCTCAAGTAGATACAAATAGTGCAGCCCAGCGTTGTGTACTCCAAGGCTGCACAGCAATAAATCCAGCAGGGCAAATCTCCTTAAATCTCATGTGCCTTGTGAAGAGGGGTGGGGCATTCTTCTCCCGAGCAGCTTGCTTAATCTGCACTGTTCTTACCTTCTCTCTACTCTCCATGCTCTCGGATCAGGAGCGGGTGGTCCTTGCTCCTCTTCTGAGCTTTGTCTCTCATGTTCATCCTGCCTCTGCTCCTCCCTGCCTACCAGCTGTCCTAATCCTGAAAGACCCTGCCCTTCCTCCGAAGCCAACAAAGTCGCCCCCTCAATCTCTTGTCGGCTCAGGTTCCAGCTCGTTTCCCCCTCCCTCCCCTGCAGATTCAGGCTCCGACAGAGGCGTGGCACTATAGTCTGGTGTCACTTTGTTCAGTGCTGTTGTAACTTTGAATGGTTGCTGTTAGGAATATAATATAACACTTGGGTTGGCAATATATAAATCATGTAACAATGCTATACCTGTTTCTTTAAATCATACTG